TTCTGCTACAGCATGGGGCTCACAGTGGCTGGTGAACTTTAATTCAGATAAAACTCAATTTTTTTCAGCCAATCGTTATCGTAATAATTTAGATCTTCCTATATTTGTGAACAGTAATGTACTCAATGAGTCATCTACCCTTTATCTTCTAGGATTAACTCTTACTTGCAAAATTAGCATCTGCTAAGGTTGCATCTCTTTATCAAGTTCGACACTCCTAATTCTATTCTTTATCTTTATAAATCTCAAACTTGTCCTTGTATGGAATACTGTTGCCATATCTGGGGTGGGTTTTTTAATGATGGCCTTTCTCTTTTAGACAAGGTGCAAAAGCGCATTGTAAACATAGTTGGATCTGGTCTTGCAGCCAACTTCCAACCATTATCATATTGTTGTAACGTTGCTTCTCATTCTCTTTTCTACAAATTCTATATATAATCAGTACTACTCTAAAGAGCTAGCGTCTCTTGTGCCATTTAATAAATTTACGTGATTGTTAACATGAGTACTTGTTTGCTGCCAAACTTTTATGCTCAGGTCACTCCTGAAAAAAATGAAAATATTGCTGCATATCTTATCTCACTTGGAATATTAACTGCTTCTTAATCTGACAAAGTTAGTTACCAGTTCTCAAAGTTTATGTCATCAGATTTTGCTATGAATTGGGATGTTTTCATTAATTATGATCAAAAGAACAAATGTTGTGATGGTTTTTACTTTAAAGACATTGACATAAAAAATCCAGAGTTGTCATCTGTCATTAAGTTTCATTCTGACTCTGAGTCATGGACAGGCATCAGTTGAATGGAGGTTTAGTGTCAATAAGGATGTGGTTAATGACAATAAATCAACAGATGGTATTGTTGGGAGGCATCTTGTGCGTGATTTCATGCTTACCAACAACCTCAACCCCCACTCTGTCCAGATTACATCAGAAATTACCAACTCATGGTTGAGGAAGAGAAGTCAAAGAATGAAAAAAGTGCAATGCTAGATCAGAGAGCTATTATTTTTTCTGAAATTAAAGAGCTAAAATCTCAAATGGGTCTCCTTACAAAACTTAATTGATGCTAGAAATAGAATTTGTTTTAACTGTGGAACAAGCTGAAAAGGAAAACAATTGTTCATTGGTCAGCAAAGCAAATACTTTAAAAAGGAAAAGTAAAGAGAAAATGAAAGATGTTGATATGTTGCAGAAAACATTATTGATATTAGAAACAAAGAGAAAGAAACTGAATTAATGATAGTTGCTTTTTGACAATTTGTTTGTTTATATAAAATATTATTTATATTGATATTTATGCAAATATGGCTAGTTAAAAAACTTTAATTATACATTCAATATAAGATTTTGCTTAAAAGTTCTTTGTGTTTAATGGACCACATATGACAGAACAGACCTTTTTAATTGTTTTCTTTAGAAAGATTATGTCAAAAGTAGTTTGAAAGCTTGTCAAGGTTTATTATATCCATTATGATTTTTGTATTGCAATTTTAAACAAGTTTTAAGAAAGTTATTAGTTGATGATGTATTTAATTAAAAGAACTCATGTGCAATTTAATAGGTAAGTCTGGCTATCGATACTCAAAGTATTTTTTAAATGTTTCTAAGCTATGTTTTGTTATACTATTTTTATCTGAAGATGTTGTTGAATTAGTAAAGGTACAGCTACAAATAGTGATAACAAACAAATAACCCAAAGTATCAGCTGATAACCCAAAGTAGTTTTGTTATAGACCAAATATTGCAAAAGATGTTGAAAGATATTTTACATAAATATTTTAGTTTATTTTTGTATTAGTGAAAGATGATTTATAAAATCTTTTATGTGCATAATTTTTACATTTTCTTGAAGATCATCTGAAACTTATGTTTTTCTTAGTGTTAAATTTTAGCCATCTTTAATAATAAGATCCATATAAACATGTATCATAATAAAAATCCATGCTAAAATCCAACTTAACTAACAGCTAAGTTTTATAAATTTTGTCATTCAAAGCATGTACAATTTTAGCATTTCTATTACAGTAGATAGTAAGTCTAAACACTTTATAATAACCATCGCAAATGTTGAAAATGGTTAGAGAAATTAGGGTTTTTTGGTTTCGGGTAACCGGACTCCGATTCGGTGAGTCTGTGGATAAATACCCGGTTTTAAGGCTCAGCGAGTCTCATGATTTTAGTGTTTGGCCTTGTTTTGTATGCTTTTAGTGTTTGGTATTATTTCGTAGAGTTGGTGAATTCCCAACTTATCTAGCTCGAAACTTAAACTTGATCACGATTGATGTTTTGAGAACATTCAAGTTTATATAAGTTTTTATGTATATCTGAATACACACTAACTTCATAACTTAAATTTTTTTCATATCAAATGTTTTTATAATAGCGATTGTTTTAAAAGCATTCGCTATTATAAAAACTTTTGATTAGAATGATTGAAGTTAATTAGTTAATTCTTCTAGCGTGTATTTAAAAAACTAAAAAAACACTTTTCATTTATTAATTAAATGGTTGAGTAATTTCTCCATTTTAGGAAAAAAGTGAAATATCATAATTTTAATGATGATGAAAACTCGAATAAATAGCCGTCAAAACCAATATTAAGATAAGCTATTATATTCTCTTGTAAATGGTACTATGCCTTAAAAGAAAATTCAAACATTTACAACAGATTTACTGAAAAGATAATTTGATGGTGGCGAAGAACAGCAAAACACACCTTATGAACCGGAACATTCAACTGAAAATAACAAAATTACTAAAGGAAAAGGACACTAGAAGAAGAATTACATAAAATATTAGAGTAAGAAGAACTACATAAAATATTATAAGTGCAAAATGTCCAATTTTGCCATGTTGCGGAGATAAATTTGTTGATATTAAAAAGAATTTTTATTGTTTTCAAAAGCCAAAAAAAGAACTGCATAATTAGAAAAACTGTATCAAGCCTTAATGACGATAAACCAATATCAACAAATTTCGAACAAACATTTTCTGTACCATCTAACTTCTGTACAAGAATTTGTTGTAGATTATGGGACAATTTATTGAGTGCATAAAATAATTGCTTTGGCATGTATTAAACACATATACATATTTTAAATTTGGTTGAGTTTATTTTTGCTAGTATATTTTCAAGAATTGTATTATAAAATATAAACTATAATGTTTGTAAATACTAACACAATATTTTTAAAATGTCAAGTTTATTTGGTAGTTTATTGTCATAATAAAAGTATAGAATAATATATTTACATTAGGCATTGAAGCTGACTAAAAGTCATTTTATTTACCGTAACAAACCAAATCCATTTTTTTAAATTGGCATGAGAACAAAACCTTTCGTGCTATTGTTAGTATTGCGAGTTAAAAAGGCGTCTTAGACCCGGGCTCAAAACCGGACCAGATAAATATTTGTAGGCTAGCCTCAGACTCATTGTATCTAAAAAGGCCAGGTTTTCCCAAACTCTAAGGGAAATTTATCTGATTTTTTCAAAAAGGTTAAGGAAAAGTCAGAGAATTTTTATAAATATTTGGTTACGAACCCTGATTTATTTCTGTCATATTAACAGAGTAATGGACTTTTGGCACAAGTTCAATATTTTTGGATTTTAAGCTCTTGTATTTTAGATAAATATTGAGACAAAGCAAGATTAGGCCATTAACTGATATTGTAATTTTTATGATGTTTTTTAATGAATTTCTCTAATTTGACAAGATATTTGGAAGATATATACTTTATCAATGACTGCTTGGTGCAATAGAACAGTGTAATGGTCAAAGATTTTTTTTTTGTCTTAAGTCCAAAAAAAATAATTTTGGCTAAAATTCCTCATCAATCTTGCATTGTTTGATTCAGCAATTGCATCAGAAAAATTAAAATTCATTTATGGTATTTTAATGAACTCCTGCTTTTAAGCTTTTTTTCTTTAGTATTTTTTGAAAGTTTTTTGATTAATAATTTTGCATATGTGCAGTTGCTATACATTAAATTGTTTTATAAGACTATATTGTGGGCTATTCTTTTGATCAATTGATTTTTTTTTGCTTTGCAATTCCTTCAAACTTTTGCTTCTGGTCCTATGTTATTTTCTGTTCTTTTAGGCATATTCTACATAGTTGGTTTTGGTAAGTTCTCCAAATGAAGCTTTTACGTTCTCAATTCAAAAATGACTTTCAATAAAGTTTTTATGCTCATTTGGATGCAAATCCAAAAATCTGCTTGTTTTTGAAGTTAATGAAAATTCATATATATTCATTTTTAATTTTTTTTTAATTAACACATTTACAGAATTAACTTAGAGTGGATAATCATTATCCTAATGAGTGAATAATAAGATTGCAAGTAAATTAATCTTATTTTTATAGCTATATAAATTAGATTTTTATCATTATTTAGTTATCATTATTTAGTTATCACAAGTTATAAATATATTTACTAGTTTATAAACATATTTATAAACTAGTAAATATATTTATAACTATAAATATATACTAGTTATAAATATATTTTACTAGCTTTGTTGTAAAAAAATTTTTTAAATTGTTTCAATAAAGTTTTTTAAAATTGTTTCTCTGTGCTAGTTCTAGTTTTAACATTTTCTATTTTAACTAATTAATTTTCTAATGACTAATTATTTTTTAACTATTTAATTTTCTATTATAATCATATTTTTTTAATATTTTGTGAAGCACATTATGGTGCAACCATATGGCAAACATATGGAATGCATTTTTCTGTTTATATTACTCCACTATCATTTAAAAGCAAATTATAAACTTCTCCATTTTTACTATTTATTACACAATTATAAACAAGTTATAAATTTGTGTATTATTGTATTGTATTGTACTTTATTTGCCTCCCTAAAGCTGAGGGGCTGCTACTGTTGAAGAGGTTTTTCTTTTTTAAAATATGTTGTTGGTATAATTGTGTAATGAGATTTAAAGTTATATTTTGAATACTGATATATTGATATTTTATTATTTAATCAAATAGATTGCATTAGTTTTAACTGATGGACGTCAAACAAGGGGATCTAGTGCGCCTGATGCTGTTGATCTTCATGTTGCTTCACGTCCTTTGAAAGATATTGGTGTCCAAATTTATTCTCTGGGTATTGGTAGAGACTATGATATTGGAGAGTTGCTAGATATTGCTTCTGATGATGCTAGTGTTTTTAGATCATCAGATGTAGATGAATTAGTCAGTATTGTAGCTAGTATTACTGAAACAACTTGCAAAGGTAATTTTTTTTAAATTTCTTTACTTGTACAATATTGAAAAATTTCTTGATATGTTTGGTATATGACTTTGTTTTGCTTGCTGACAAACATTAAAGAAAATCATTAGTGGACTTATAAATACATCTGTATTTACCTATATATACAATACACCTGTGTATTGACATGTCCCTTAAGTGACCAGATGATAGTTAGCCAATATTATAGTCAATTATTATAATGCTGATTGGTAGTGTCTGACTCATTTGTTTAAAATGTTGTTAAATGTTAGCTATTGGCTGGTTAGTTAAATGTTAGCTATTGGCTGGTTAGTTAAATGTTAGCTATTGGCTGGTTAGTTAAATGTTAGCTATTGGCTGGTTAGTTAAATGTTAGCTATTGGTTATTTATGGATAATACTACTAATGATCCACAAAATGATTTTATTGTTTATATTTTAGTGTCAAGGAGTTAGGTATAGATCTTAGTATAGGTGTTTTATTATTTTTATTAAATCAGGAAGAATATTATTTGATACATTTAGTTAAATTGTTTGTTATAATATTTCTTTATCATTCTTCTTTTTTAGTTTGCTTTGTTGATTCTTATGGCTATAGTTTAAATGTTTCAAAAGAAAAGTAAAAAATTTTATAAACTTTTTAAAGAAAATCAACTTCTTTAAACATCTTAGATTTTTAAAAACAAAATTTGCAAAATTTTGACATGTTTCAATATATATGCTAGGCAAAAAGCTGCTTATATTATTTACGTAGAGTAGATTATTTAGTATTATTAGTCAGTAGATTATTTTCATATGAGTCTTAACATAAATACTGATTTAACTATAAGGAATCAGACTTTTACTTCAAATTTAATATGGCTAATAATCTAAAAAAAAGAAAACCTTTAAAAAAATGTTTATTTATTAAGAGAAAAAATTTTTAGATTTGTGTTCATTATACCAAACTGTTGTCTTCAAATATCTGTTTACTATTGAATAGTATAAATCTTGCATATTTAATTCTTAGAAAGATAAGTTTAATATCACTGTCTAGAATTAAGCATTCTTAAAATGAGCAAAAAAATGTATTCCTACTTTAGTTTTTTACATTTACTTTATGATTTACATTAAAGCTGACTAATAATATGTAATAATCATTGTTTACAAATGTTTAAAATTAATTTTTTGAAAAAAATCTTTTAATACTTTATATAAATTTAAAATATTATTTAAAAAAATATTAAACATGTCTTGATGTTTGAAAAACTGTTAGAAGAATGGAAACTAGCTTTTTAGATAATAATATCACTACCAATATTATTTTTGAAGACTTAATTGCTTGTTTTGATTATTAATTTAATTATTACTTTCAATATCAATAATTTATTATTTTAAAGGTTGCACTAATGCCATTGATATCCACTTTGCAATTGATTCATCAGTAAATGTTGGAGAGGAGAACTTTGAATTTTTTCGTAATTTTGTTCGAGCAATAGGTTACAAATTTGTCATCTCTGAAACAGGATCACATATATCAGCTTCTGTTTTTGGATCTGATGCCACCATGATTTTTAATATGTCTAAAGCAACTTCTCAAGAAACATTTTTATTAGAAGTAGATAAGCTTCCATATTTAGGAGATCAAACATCAAATATGGACAAAGCTCTTAAGTATATAAATAAAGAGGTTTTTACAATGTCCGGTTATGCGCGACAGAATGCTCCTAAAGTTGTAATTTTCTTAACTGCTAGTAACTGCAAAACTTGTGATGAGAAACTTAGTGAGGCTGTGAAACCCCTCAAACAAAATGGTGTTCAAATTATAACGATTCCTGTATCAAACAAGGTTGTATTGGAAGAGATGTATTCAATATCTTCACTTCCATCTCAAAGGTATGTTTTCCCTCAAAAGCATTTTAAGGAAATTATGACAGGAATTTTTATTCAGAAAGTTTCAGAAATGATTTGTTCTGCTCGTCCTGGTGTGTGTGATGAACCTTCAGTTGCAGAAGGTTGTGCTAAAATTAATTACACTTGTGATGCTGATGCTCGTTGTGCATCTGGAAAAAAGTGTTGTTTAAAAAATTGTGTTCAGTCTTGTGAACAGTCATTAATTAGTAAGTAATTTTTTTTGTCTAGTTTTTTTGTATTATGATGTATAAAGTGGTGAGGATATCCTATATCTTCCCATACCTTATATCTTTATGCTCTATCCTCCCCCTTGCTCCCACTGTCACTGTTGTTTGTTTTTTATTAAACTTTACGTATTAAAGTTTAAATCAACAAAAGTCTAATATAAATGAGCCAAAACCACATTAATATGGATAATACCATGCTGATTTTTCTATCAACCAATAAAAATAATAAAGAATTTTTTTTTAATGTGTATTAAATATTTATCAATATTTCTAGAAATTGTATCTTAAATCAACAATACAGTATGCAAACTACACTTGTTTATTTAACCAATAGAGTTTATAAATAGAGTTTTAATTGTTTTACTTTTTAAGCTAACATTTTTATTAAACTTTTTTATTATAACAGTTTATTTAACTTATACATAAGTTAACAAAAATTAAAAGCAATTAGGTTTATTTTTATGATTTATTAGATAATGAATTTGAATATAAATTTAAAAATATAAAGTTTAAATGTTCCCTTTATATAAGGATTAATTTGAATTACAACAAGCTTTTTTGGAATTTTTCTTAGCAAAAAATTTATTAAAACAAAAATAGAGTTTGCAGTTTTTATGCCAAGCTTGTTGATTAAAAATTGTGATTGCAATTTGTTGATTAAAAATTGTGATTATAGTTTTTTGTTTAATTTGTTGATTAATATAAATTGTGGTTATTATAATTTGCTGAACAAAAAATTGTTGATTAATATAATTTGTTGATTAATAATTGTGATTATAGTTTGTAAACTAATTTGTTGATTAATTTAGTTTATTGATTAAAATTGTGGTTGCAATTTGTTAATTAGAGTATTTGTTAATTAATATAGTTTTTTTATTAAAAATTGGGGTTATAATTTCTTGATTAATATAGTTTGTTAATGAAAAATTAAGTTTATTGTTTGTTAATTAAAGTATTTATTGATTAATATAATTGTTGATTAAAAACTAAAGATTGGTCAATGGTCAACGACTGCCCTATATGACTCAAATTATTATTTTGACCTCCCTAAATGAATGCCATTCGTAGTTGAATGAATGCCATTCGTGGTTGACTGAATGCCATTCGTGGTTGAATGAATGCCATTCGTGGTTGACTGAATGCCATTCGTGGTTGAATGAATGCCATTCGTGGTTGACTGAATGCCATTCGTGGTTGAATGAATGCCATTCGTGGTTGACTGAATGCCATTCGTGGTTGAATGAATGCCATTTGTGGTTGAATGAATGCCATTCGTGGTTGAATGAATGCCATTCGTGGTTGAATGAATGCCATTCGTGGTTGAATGAATGCCATTCGTGGTTGACTGAATGCCATTCGTGGTTGACTGAATGCCATTCGTGGTTAAATGAATGCCATTCGTGGTTGAATGAATGCCATTCGTGGTTGACTGAATGCCATTCGTGGTTGACTGAATGCCATTCGTGGTTGAATGAATGCCATTCGTGGTTGAATGAATGCCATTCGTGGTTGAATGAATGCCATTCGTGGTTGAATGAATGCCATTCGTGGTTGAATGAATGCCATTCGTGGTTGAATGAATGCCATTCGTGGTTGACTGAATGCCATTCGTGGTTAAATGAATGCCATTCGTGGTTAAATGAATGCCATTCGTGGTTGAATGAATGCCATTCGTGGTTGAATGAATGCCATTCGTGGTTGAATGAATGCCATTCGTGGTTGAATGAATGCCATTCGTGGTTGAATGAATGCCATTCGTGGTTGAATGAATGCCATTCGTGGTTGAATGAATGCCATTCGTGGTTGAATGAATGCCATTCGTGGTTGAATGAATGCCATTCGTGGTTGAATGAATGCCATTCGTGGTTGACTGAATGCCATTCGTGGTTGAATGAATGCCATTCGTGGTTGAATGAATGCCATTCGTGGTTGAATGAATGCCATTCGTGGTTGAATGAATGCCATTCGTGGTTGACTGAATGCCATTCGTGACTGTTAAAAAAAAATCAGAGTTTTAAAAAATTTTGAAAAATTAATAATAAAAAATAAAAAATTTTGACATCAGAATGTAATTTGAAAAATGCATATACTAGAATTTGATAAAATCATTAAAATTTTGAAAATGTGTTTAAAATAGTTTTATTGTTTACGATATGCTGCTTTAATCCACTTCATTGATTAATATTATATATGATGTAAACTATATATATGATGTAAACTATATATAGACATAAACTATATAAATGACATAAACTATATATATGATGTAAACTATATATATCAATTTCTTCACTTCACTTATTACTTTTATTTTACTGACAGTAAAAATCCTTTTTTTCATAAATGATTCAAGTTCTTAGTTTAATAATTTTTAATATATTAAAGCATTTAATATATTATTTTAAATTATAGTATAATAATATATAGTAATTGTTGTATTTAGAACATTTTTCCTTTTAACTGTACTTTGTTTTTCTTTTCTTCAAATCTTATTTTTCTTAAATTTTTGCAACAAATTGCAATAAATTAACAAATAATTTATAGATAAATTTAAAATAACTATTTGTACATTTGCGCTTTTTGAAAAATTTAAAAAAGCAATAAAATATTAAACCAAGCACTAAAAATTAGATTTGTATTTCTTTTCTCTCTCTCTTTTTTTTTATTACTTGGTCATCTTTATTTTTAATTATCATTATGGTTAACATTTATAAATGGATTATATTAAATGTGTTTTTAGAGCAATTAAATTTATGAATTAATTTAAATTAACATCTTTTTTAAAAATTTTAGCATGCGTTACCCCAATTGACCTGGCAATTGCATTTGAAACAACTGTGGAATCGAGTAAAGATTTTGCAGAATTGAAAGACTATACCAAGGACTTTTTAGATAATTTCCAAATAACTTCATCAAAAACACATATTAGTTTAGTTACATATAGTGATACAGTTTTAACACTTCCATTCAACACATCGTTTGATAAAAACCGAATTATCAAGAATATAGATTTATTAAAAAACCAAAATGGGCAAGAGAGTAATTTGGACAAGTTGTTTGATGCTGTACAAAGAGATGTATTTAGCTTAAATGGCGGAGTAAGAAGATCTTCTCCTAGAACTCTTGTTGTTTTCACTAAAGGTAAATATCCTAAAGGAAAAGAGTTAAGCATTAAAGAGGCTGCTAGTAAGTTAAAATCTTCTGAAAATGTTGAGATTATTATTGTGAATATTGGCTCAGAATACAATCAAGTTTTGAAAGAAGTTGTTTCTGGTACTGAAAAGTCTAATTTTATTCAGATAAACTCAGTTAAAGACCTAAAAAAAGAAGAAATTTCTCGTAGACTTGCTTATCAAGTTTGTTCAAGTAATTAATTTTTTTAAAAGTATTATATATAGTATATATATATATATATATATATATATATATATATATATATATATATATATATATATATATATATATATATATATATATATATATATATATATGAATTGTTATTTTATTTAAAAAAGGAAAAGAAAAAAAAAAGAAATGCCATGAGAAACCTCCAAAGGACAATTGCGATGTAAAATATAATTTTTGCGAAAGTGATTTTGATTGTCCGGGTTATCAAGAATGTGTTTTTGATGGCTGCAGAAGGAAATGTGCTTATTGTGGGAAAAGTAAGTAGCTAAAACTTTTTTTAAAGTTATTTTAAAATTTAAGTTCTTTTTTTTATTTTTATGCTTTGATACTTAGAGTGCACTGATAAGCTTGACATTCTACTTGTTCTTGATGACTCAATTAAAACAGGACAGGAAAATTTTAAAAAAAGCAAAGACTTTTCAAAAGCTATGCTTGAATGGCTCAGTATTGATCAAAATAATACTAATGTGGCTGTGATATCGTATAGTGATATAGCTGAGTTGCATATTTCATTTCCAGTTTCTGGTAGTGATGATCCACTACAGAGTTTGTATGATCTCCAAGGTAAAATTGATAGTATACCTTACAAAGGAGGTTCAACTTCACGTTTAGATAGAGCATTGAGTTTGGCATCAACTAGAGTTTTTCCAGAAGGAAAACGCACTAGAAATGCTAAAAAGGTAAGCTATATTATATTGCAACTAATTGACCTTGGTAAAGTTTTCAATCTAAATTTAAAAGTTTAAAAATGATTATTTCTCAAATAACATCATTATTTAATAAAAAATATAACGGTTTTTTTGTGCATTAGTTGAAAGCAATGAGGCAAGGGTTATTGATCCTAATATATGAAAGACTTTCAATAAAGTATGACATGCTGATCTACTAAAGAAGCTTGCTTCATAGGGTGTATTTGTGAAAGTTTTTAAAGTTTTTAAATCATTTTTTAGTATTGCATTATTAAAGTTGTCTTTGATAAACAAAATTTTCCTTGATTTTCAGTAACTTCTGAAGTACAACAAGGTTCTATTATTAGTCATGTGTTGTCCCTTATATAATATGTCCCTATATATTATCTTCCTATTTATCATACCTCTAAAGTGGCTCAACATTGCTGATCACACAACTATATATTCCAGTCTTGATGAAAACTCATTACTTTTTGATTGCTCAGAACAGGTAGCTGATCTTAAATCTAATTTCTTTTCTGTGACAGCTTAGGGCTTACAATGGCTGGTGAGTTTTCATCCCAAAAAAAGTCATTTGTTTACTGATAATAATTTTTGCAACATTGGTGATAATCTATTTCTGATAAAAGGCAACATTCTTACTGAGTCCTCTACTTTATGTCATCTCAAATAGTTTATTACTGACTTCTCATAGAAACTGTATATGAATTTTTTTTTTCCTTAAACATAGAGGTTTTGAAATTCCATCTTGTTTTTCACATTTTTCTGACTCATAAAGTTTTTTAAGTTTCAACTGGCATCTTGTTTCTTTAAATAAAAAAAAGAAATCTTTCAATGGAAT